CCACCGGTCACGTGATGCCGCCTCCACGCCGTGCCCAACACCGTCACCAATATGGCCGCCATCTGTCATTCCGCTACACTTAACTAAAATACCCGAGTTCTGGAATGAAGGAAAGCGATACAAAAGAACAGGTTTTATTGACAAGCCAGAACCAGACGTCAGGCACCGTCCATCCGAGTTCACCACACCGGCTATGTCGCTCATTAAATGCTGCTCCTCATTCGCAACTTTGTTTGGCTGTGTATCTTTCTCGGATACCATTGGATCGCAGAGAGACCGAGGATTAACTAGAGCAAGCTTGGCATAGTATGTCTGCGACTTATATGCAGACGCTGTAGAATAACCGAGCTCTAGTATGCAAAAGACTGGTACAACAGAAAGACTTTATTGACCAATCACAAGCCAGAGCCACGCGTCAGGCGCCTTCTGTCCGAGTCCACCGCGCTGGCCACGCCGCTCATTATATACTGCACCTCAGTCGTGTCCTTCTCTGGTTGGCTGATTATCTTTCTCGTATGCCATTGGAACACAGAGAGACACAGGATTGGCTGCAGATCGGTGGTCCAATATGTCTGCGCCCTGATCCGACGTCACTGTAGAATACCCGAGCCCTAATAGGAAAAAGACTGGTACAACAAAACAGGCTTTATTGACCAATCAGAGGCCAGAGCCACACGTCAGGCGCCTTCCATCCGAGTCCACAACGCAGGCCACGCTGCTCACACACCCGAACACACCATATTACACTACACCACGCCACACTGCAACTTGACTCTCGAAACAAGGATTTCAAAACACATTTTACTAACAGTGCTAGTGTAAATGGTTTTATTTAAAAACGTTTTTGTTTATGCTTTGTGTATTTTTTTCTAATTATCACAATGATGAGAAAAATTAACGCTTTCCGACTTCGTTAAAATCTCAGTGAAATAATGAATGGCTTTTGCATTTGAGGATTTCCATGTCTGCAATTAACATCCTGTTTGGTTCAATACGTCCTCTAAAATTCTAATGTTTAGACTTGAATTAGCCTGAAATGTGGTTTAGTTTGTGCACCTCTTTGTTTTCTGTTTGATAGCGAACCCACATCCGATTTCACTCTGGTCAGCATCGACTTTGTGTAAATTGTTGTCAGTTATTTGATTATCTTTCTCGACATTGCGTCAAGAGTTGCACACCACATTACTCCGATGATATCGAGATTACACTAAGATTACACATATTTATTTGCCAACATTTCTTTTTAATTAAAAAGCACGTTGTAGGTTTTGTATTCTATGTAATCACTTTACTAATAAAACGTGCTGATTGCTTGTATCCTCATCGAGTCTGTCGTCCTTTCTTTTAGATCATGTTGTCAGTCTGCGGTCGGGCTGGTTGTCGATTTCCAATTGAGGTTGACCGGATAATATGTCGCGCGTGCTCACTTCCTTTTCATCGTGAGTGTTCCAACCTCTCACCAGAAGACTATGATAACAAGTTGAATTCTGAAAATTGGTTGTGCTTAAGGTGCATTTCCATAGATACCGCTAAATCCAACAACAATTCCCCAACAGAATCTTCCCCAACTTCTGCCAAGATCTCCCGTCTCGATTCACCGCAAGTCATATCTTACGTTACCAGCAACCCTAATAAGTTGAGGGAAACTTCAGAAATACTCGGTGAACAGTATTCAAATATGGTGTGTTAATTTTGGTTTCACCATACTTCAGTCCTATTTTCTTTCCAATCTTTTTGAATATGCGAATTCTGTTGCAGCTAAAACAAGTGAATATAGATCTGCCAGAATACCAAGGCACAATCGAAGAGATCGCCCAGCTTAAGTGTCGTTACGCAGCAGAGAAGGTTGACGGACCCGTGCTAGTTGAAGATACCAGTCTTGGATTTGATGCTTTGAAGGGAATGCCTGGCCCCTACATCAAATGGTTCCTTAAAGCTGTGGGGCCTGAGGGTCTGTGTTTTATATATTTACTGTCGAAATTTGTTTCTGTGTATATAGTCGACAGTAGGAGTCACCAGGTTTTTTTCTTGACGTTAAAACGTCACCTAACCGAGGCACTTAACCCAGTCTATCGACAGTTTCGACCTGAGAGCTTGCTCATAGACCTCCGTACCTTCATGATCTCAAGTGACCCTGTTGTTTTTTAAAATGACCAGAGAAATTTGGAATCTCTGTTTAGGTAGGGTCAACTCAAAGTCCTTAATCATTTCAAGTTTTAGTGTGCTGAAACTAACCCCTGGGTGTTCACCCTTTAAGACCTCCCCAACTCTGCCCTTTTCTTTCATTTCCCTACTGCCATTTATACAATTATTTTATTTCCTATTTGCCAGTGTCGTAGAAGTTTTCACACGGCAAAAGACATAAAAATTCCTTATCAGTATTTCTGCGTTTCATCTCACATTCGAGTGCCCTATTTGTCAGTTATGAACTTTCATGTGAAATCACTCGTAAATGTTTATTTCTGAATGGATCCCTGTGTGTCGTTGTTTATTTTCATCCAAAGCTTAATATTCTGTTTCTGCACAAGTGAATTGACTGCATCGAACGCAACCGGGGTTTAAATTGTTGGAATGATGATTTAAGTAGTGCTTCCCTCGCATCTAGGTCTTTACAAAATGCAGGTTGGATTTGGACCTGAGAACAACGGTGCTGAGGCTATTTGCACGTTCGCCTATTCATCGGGCAAAGACAGACCAGTTCGCCTGTTCCAGGGTGTCACGCGAGGTCGGATAGTCGAGCCACGGGGCGTCTCCAGGTTCGGCTGGGACCCCTGTTTCCAGCCCGATGAGGGCCACGGTCAGACCTACGCAGAGATGGACAAAGAACTAAAGAATGCCATTTCTCATCGATTCAAAGCTGCCAACAAACTGCGAGAGTTCTTGAAGTCCAGACTTACCTCAGGCAGTACCAGTTAGCTAACATTTGTACTTTTTTAACCACTCGATATTCTTCTGCAAATATATAAGTATTTTTAACATTGTCTCTCTAAGTCGGTTGCCCATATTGACGATAAGGCCTTCTAGTTGGGTCGGCGGTACAAACCCACAGCAGAACGGTGTATCCACTAGTTTTCCGTCTGGTGGTACTAGAAATTGGCTTTTGGTGTTTGAATGCGTGTAACAGTTGGTAATTGGGTATAGTTTGCTAGCCGTCCTCCGTAAGAAACCATCTGCTCAAAAAAGGTTAATCGCCCTTGCTCATCTTCTCTTGTGATACCACCTTAATTCTAGTAATTTTGAAATGAATTGAAAAAGTGGACTATGGTCTTAAGGGTTGATTCTGTAAAGTAGCGTCTACATTTTCATAAAACAGGTTATGTGTTGACACGGCGAGTGGACCGTTTTTCTCTTGGCAGGCTGATGCACGCTGAACAACCGTTTTAGACATTTGGTGAATCGGCCTGATTTGCGCCCATCGCCAACGCGACAATGCATGCGACTACTGTGAATAAGCCACGTTACTGCAATATTCCGACCTAAGATATTTGTAATAAAATTGTTGTGCCACAAACACTTCTGAGTATTTACCATAGTCAGGAGAAGGTTACCTGATCTATATAAATCCAACACAAGGCTATTATGAGCAATAACCTAGTGTCTGAAAAAAACGGTAATTCGAAAGGGTTCATTCATTTGTTAATCTCCTAGTATGACTGCTGCTTTGCTTGAGCCGATAACGAAGGCAAAAGTATAGACGAAAGGTAGTCATGGAGTGTGTGCCCAGATGTTTGTTTGGAGAGACTCTGTAAGAAGCTTTACGGTGTGGAGATACCCACACAATTCCCAAGTAAAGTGGTCCAGCACAAATATTCGTGACCAACAGGGAATCCGCAGGGTGGAAATGCTCTAAGACCGGTCTTATATGAATGGTGGCGCATCACACCACTTGTATCCCAGTCAAAGCGGCCTGTATTTACCGCGGAGGAAATATGGGAGCATGTGCTGTAGTTTTAAACGTACAAGTACTAAACATTGAGAATTGTTAATAAAAAATAAAACTGACGCGATGACCTGTGTTATTTTCCATTGACAGTCACACTGTATTTGCGTATATTGATCAACTACCATTGCCCTGAATAAAGTGGTTTGAGTTATTGAATAAATAACTATTTAGACCTCGTAGTTTAGCCAATCCGTCAATCTCACTGCATCCATTCTGTGGTGTATTATACAAACGACAATTCTCCAAACAGCATGAATAATAGTAATAGTGAATGTTTGAGTTGTACTCGTTGTTCCATTATTCCGTCCATTTTACACAAATTCATTTGCACACCAACATAATCAATTTGTAGTTGCATAATATAAGCCGCTTACTTAGTTATTTTTCATTTCTTTTTGTTAATGTGCAAAAGATAGCTCATGGAATCTTAATGCTTTTTTATTTACAAAAATAAAATACATTACGATAATTGATTTACTCAACCAATCAGCATCCCCCTCCATTTCACGGTTTCGTTTTCAGAAATAGTTTTGTAATGCAAAGGTTTGGGTTTGGCGCTATCCCGTCTTTTATCAGGAACTCTACAATAAAACCCATTGATGCATTAAAGCCTGCTGTCTTGGGGTATGTCACTCTGCATCTATTCATTTTTTTCTGTGGAATATCGAATCCGTTTCTCCACAACATTTAATTCACATTTTGAGTGGATTCGCTATTCCTTAATACCCTATTAAGGCTTTATAAGTTAACAAACTGTGCTTGGGAATTTCGTATGTTGTTTTGAAGTGCCTTGGTTGATGCACTTTACATATTTCAGTAATGTTTGGCTGCTGTTTTTAACTGTCTTCCTTCACCCCTATAAGCATGTGCTCTGTGATCTGCACTAACT